GGCATGGTTTCCGCAGAGGGAACGTTGGCCGGAAGGGCATGTGCGCGCGCCAGGGAACTTGCGGCTGGGCGCCAATGCGCATGCTCAGTTGTTTTGCCGTTTTGTGAGTGTGTTGTTGTGTTGTTTTTCATTTAGAGTAGATACGTTTGTACCTTGTGGGTTGTGTTATGGGCATGGGAATTTTGGTTAAGTTTCGTTGGGGTTTTTTTGAGTTTTGTTTTTTTGCCGTTTTGAGTGTGATGTTGTGTTGTTTTTCATTTTGAGTAATATGTTTGTACCTTGTGGGTTGTGTTATGGGCATGGGAATTTTGGTTAAGTTTCGTTGGGGTTTTTGAGTTTTGTTGTTTTGCCGTTTTGTGAGTGTGTTGTTGTGTTGTTTTTCATTTTGAGTAGATATGTTTGTACCTTGTGGGTTGTGTTATGGGCATGGGAATTTTGGTTAAGTTTCGTTGGGGGGTTTTTGAGTTTTGTTTCCTCGTTGGATGCCCCTAACAAATTTATATATATAGATGGGCCCCTTCCCTTGTTTACAAAACCTAAATGGAATACTTCTTTTAAGGAAACATATCTTACTATGATTATATCAGCAAGAATAGTTTTATGCACAAAAATGGAAACATAAAGAACGAAAACTGGATTGCAAAAGTTCTAGAACTGGCAGAATTTGCAAGTTAACTGATTAACTTTAACCCATGCTTTCTGTTTCATTCTGTTATAATTTGGGGACATATTATTATTATTATTATTATTATTATTAAATTTCAAAATGGGAATTGTCCTAAACAATGAATATTCGGAAATGAGCCATACCGTCAACTTCACAAAAGCTGTCCTCAGAGTCGTCGTGCCGGGTCCAACGGATCACAGCTTGGGCAGTTTCTTCACTGCAGAGAAAGCAAGGGAAAAATATGTTTTCTCCCACCAAAAGTACATCTACACTGTGGAATTAATGCAGTTTGACTCAATGCTCAATGCTATGGGATCCTAGGATTTGTAGTTTGGTGAGGCACCAGCCCTCTTGGGCAGAGAAGACTCAAAACCTTGTAAAACTACAACTCCCAGGATTCCATAGCATTGAACCATGGCAATTAAACTGGCATCAAACTGCATTCATTCTACAGTGTAGATGCACACATTACTCGCCGATACATCACATAGTCCTAGACACTTGGGAAGTGTCCGGCGGGTGATCCAATACAAAAGCCAGCATAGAGAACTTGTTTGCTATGTATTAATCTTGTTGTGTATCAAATAATAATAATAATTTCATGTCAGACCTCACAACTTCTGAGAATGCTTGCCACAGATGCAGGCGAAACATCAGGAGAGAATGCTTCTAGAACACGGCCATATAGCCCGAAAAACTGACAACAACCAATTTCATGTCTTACCCGCATCTCCTCAGAAAATTAGAGCCCAGGAAGCCATGGCAGCCTATAGCTATGAGTAAATGTATACTAAGTCTGATGCAATTGCATCACAACACTCAGATGTGCTGCACACATTGGCCAAGATCCTATATTGCCCAGGATCCCCCATTGTCCCAGTTTAATGTAAATATATATATTTATAGTTCTGTTCCACGTGCATGAATGCAGTCCTTATATTATATGGGTTGAGTATCCTTTATGCAAAATAATTGGGACCAGAAGTGTTAGATTTTTCTTAAAATTTTGGGATGCCTGTGTTTGCAGATGTTGGAATACCTGTATTTGCAAATGCTGAATTGCCTAGATTTACAGATGTTGGAATATCTGTTTCTGCAAATGTTGGAATGCCTGTGTCTGCAGACGTTGAAATACCTGTATCTGCAGATTTCAGAATGCCTGTATCTGCAGGTGTTGGAATACCTGTATCTGCAGGTGTTGGAATACCTGTCTCTGCAGATGTCAGAATACCTGTCCCTGCAGGTGTTGGAATGCCTGTATTTGCAGATGTTGAATTACCTATATTGACAGATGTTGAAATGCCTGTATCTGCAGATGTTGGAATACCTGTATCTGCAGATTTCAGAATGCCTGTGTCTGCAGGTGTTGGAATGCCTGTATTTGCAGATGTCGGAATACCTGTATCTGCAGGTGTTGGAATGCACGTCTCTGCAAGTGTTGGAATGCCTGTCTCTGCAGATGTCGGAATACCTGTCTCTGGAATGCCTGTGTCTGCAGATATCAGAATACCTGTATTTGCAGATGTTGAATTACCTATATTTACAGATGTTGGAGTGCCTGTACCTGCAGATGTTGGAATACCTGTCTCTGCAGATTTCAGAATGTCTGTATCTGCAGATGTTGGAGTACCTGTATCTGCAGGTGTTGGAATGCCTGTCTCTGCAGATATCAGAATACCTGTCTTTACAGATGTTGAATTACCTATATTTACAGATGTTGGAGTGCCTGTACCTGCAGATGTTGGAATACCTGTCTCTGCAGATTTCAGAATGTCTGTATCTGCAGATGTTGGAGTACCTGTATCTGCAGGTGTTGGAATGCCTGTCTCTGCAGATATCAGAATACCTGTCTTTACAGATGTTGAATTACCTATATTTACAGATGTTGGAATGCCTGTATCTGCAGATGTTGGAATACCTGTCTCTGCAGGTGTTGGAATGCCTGTATTTGCAGATGTCGGAATACCTGTATCTGCAGGTGTTGGAATGCCTGTATTTGCAGATGTCGGAATACCTGTATCTGCAGGTGTTGGAATGCCTGTATTTGCAGATGTCTGAATACCTATATTTGCAGGTGTTGGAATGGCTGTATCTGCAGGTGTTGGAATACCTGTATCTGCCAGTGTTGGAATGCCTGTCTCTGCAGATATCAGAATGCCTGTATCTGCAGGTGTCAGAATACCTGTATCTGCAGGTGCTGGAATGCCTGTCTCTGCAGATGTTGGAATGCCTGTCTCTGCAGATGTTGGAATGCCTGTCTCTGCAGATGTCGGAATGCCTGTCTCTGCAGATGTCGGAATGCCTGTCTCTGCAGATGTCGGAATGCCTGTCTCTGCAGATGTTGGAATGCCTGTATTTGCAGATGTTGGAGTGCCTGTATCTGCAGATTTCAGAATGCCTGTATTTGCAGATGTCGGAATACCTGTATCTGCAGGTGTTGGAATGCCTGTATTTGCAGATGTCGGAATACCTGTATCTGCAGGTGTTGGAATGCCTGTATTTGCAGATGTCGGAATACCTGTATCTGCAGGTGTTGGAATGCCTGTATTTGCAGATGTCGGAATACCTGTATCTGCAGGTGTTGGAATGCCTGTATTTGCAGATGTCGGAATACCTGTATCTGCACGTGTTGGAATGCCTGTATTTTTAGATTTTGGAGTGCCACTACTTTGGCTATAGAGTTCCCCCCAAAACAAGTTATTGAGCACTGAATCAATGCCTCGGGGATAAGCTACAGGGAGGACAAAGCTTGAAGTAATTGCCTTCACAATCTCTAAGGGAAAGGAGAACCCAATTCCATTTTGGAGAAGAAAAGGCACCTCAACGATGCGTCCACGGCTCCCAGTCTCTCTGCTTTTTCGCAGTCGTCATCGGCCAAAGTGTTGGCCTCTTCAGAATACTATAAAGCAAGAACAGAATCGGGAGACAGAATTAGATGCAACCGTTCAGAGCATTTGCCGTTCATTCACCCATTCTCAAAAGAAGCTGAGCTTGATCAAAGCAACCCAGGAGCCCCCGATGGCAGAGTGGATTGAACCCTTGTGCCAACAAGACTGAAGACCGACAGGTAGGAAGTTCCAATCCAGGGAGAGTGTGGATGAGCTCCCCCTGTCAGCTCCAGCTCCCCATGCAGGGACATAAAAGAAGCCTCCCACAAGGATGGTAAAACATCAAACATCCAGGCATCCCCTGGGCAACGTCCTTGCAGATGGCCAATTCTCTCACACCAAAAGCGACTTGCAGTTTCTCAATTACTCCTGGCGCATACACACAAAAAAAATCAAAGCAACCTTGAGTGTATCTATAGCAAGACTGGGCAAACTTCCGCTCTCCTTCCAGGTGTTTTAGACTCTAAGTCCCACAATTCCTAACAAATATAGACTGTTAGGAATCATAGGAGTTGAAGTCCAAAACACCCAAGTTTGCCCATGACTATGATAGTGGGTTAAATTCATCAATGGGAGAGGGGGGACAACAAGGTTGTGGATTCAAATTTACCCAAACCATTAAGTAAGTATGGGTGTTTGACCCTATTTTTTCTCAAATTTTAGGAGAGCAAGATACTTGAGCAAAGCAACCCAGGAGGTACAAAACAGGTGAAGGTGCTCTATGGGCCTCGCTTTCTTGAACCAAAATCAATTTTGGTTCCAAATCCAACCATTTCTTACCTTGTAACTCTCGGATCGAATCCCACCAGGAACCTCATCCTGGAAACAGAAAGTTACAAGATCAAAGTCTAGGCCATTTAAGTCATTTCCTGGTGAAAGTAAAGAAAATAAAGCGTAATTCTCTCATTGGGGAGGATGTTTGGAACAGGGGCACGTAATAATAATAATAATAATAATAATAATAATAATAATAATGATGATGATGATGATGATGCAAAGACTCTGGCACAAACCAGTCAAGGTGGTCCCAGTGCTGATTGGCACACTGGGTGCAGTACCTAAAGACCTTGGCCTGCACTTAAACTCAATCGAGGCCACCTTACTGGGATCTGCACACATTATTCACCGATACATCACACAGTCCTAGACACTTGGGAAGTGTCCAATGTGTGATCCAATTCAACAGCCAGCAGAGTGTCTGTTGTGGACTCATCTTGTGTTTCTAATAATAATAACAACAACAACAACAACAACAACAGGAAAAACTCAGCCATTATCAGGACCTCAAAATCGAACTGCAAAGGCTCTGGCATAAACCAGTCCAGGTGGTCCCAGTGGTCATTGGCAAACTGGGCGCCTTGCCAAAAGATCTCAGCCGGCATTTGGAAACAATAAACATTGACAAAATCATGATCTGTGAACTGCAAAACGATCTGCACGCATCATTCGAAGTCCTAGATGCTTGAGAAGTGTTCGACTTGTGATTTTGTGATACGAAATCCAGCATAGAGATCTTGTTTGCTGTGACATACTGTGCTTTTGTGTCAGTAAAATAATAATAATAATCATAACAACAACAACAACAACAACACTTATTACTTGAGAATATTATTTGAGAACACAGAAATGCTGGGCCACTCTCACAACCACCATGTCAGACTACACAGAGAAGCCATTGAAATCCACAAGCATGTGGACAATTTCAACAGAAAGGAGGAAACCATGAAAATGAACAAAATCTGGCTACCAGTATTAAAAAAACTCTAAAATTAAAACAGCAAAACAGCAGAGGGAAAACAATCAGGGACATCTAATCACCTCTCAACAAAAGATTGCTCCAGGCACTGCCAGGCCTTCAAATGCTAATGAAGGTGGTCAGTTGAAACATTCACACCTAGCTCCAGCAGAGAAGAGCTCTTTGCCCCACCCCAGCCATTCCACAGATATATAAACCCTTTTTCCTAATTCCAACAGACCTCACTACCTCTGAGGATGCTTGCCATAGATGCAGGCGAAACGTCAGGAGAAATGCCTCTAGAACATGGCCCTATAGCCTGAAAAAACCCACAAGAACCTAGTGATTCCAGCCATGAAAACCTTCAACAACAACAACACTTTATTTATATTCCGCCCTATTTCCCCAAGGGGACAGCAGCTCAAGTTGGGCTTGATAGTCAGCAGCTCACGCCAACCCGGGGCTTCGAAATAGCAACCTTTCAGTTGGTAGATGTTATCATTGCTGATTATTTTACCAGCTGTGCTAAACCTGGCACATTGCCACCTTTCACTTTATGATCCTGTTTCCTACAAAAAATATTTACAAATAACACTATGTAACAAAATTTGAAATATATTCCATTCCTGGTTTGAAAGAGTTATTTCCTGTTGAATTGTGCGGTCCTGACTTTCAAAGTAGTTGTTCTACTCCAGAAACTTTGTTTTTGTGACTGCCACAAATTATGTTGAGTTGGTTAAGACTCTATATGATGAGATATTCATTGGAAAACTAGAGCAAAATGTGCTGCAGGATGTCCCTCCCTCAAGGACAAAGCTTTTGCAGTTTCATAAACTTTTTCCCCATGTTTTTATGATAGAACCAATTTGGAAATGACATTGATAACCCAGGAACAAAAATCATGTTACATAGTGTGATCAGCATCCCATGAGATGGTTGAACAGAAGCTCTCCGAAGCTCTAGGTGCTCTTACTGCCTATTACAGGGAAAACCAGCTGATTCCTAATCCATCTAAAACACAGACATGTGCTTTTCATCTCAAGAACAGACAAGCATTCCGAGCTCTGAAGATCACCTGGGAAGGAATCCCACTGGAGCATTGCAGCGCACCCAAATACCTGGGAGTCACTCTGGACCGTGCTCTGACCTACAAGAAGCACTGCCTGAACATCAAGCAAAATGGGGCTAGAAACAATATCATACGAAAGCTGACTGGCACAACCTGGGGATCACAACCAGACACAGTGAAGACATCTGCCCTTGCGCTATGCTACTCTGCTGCTGAGTACGCATGCCCAGTGTGGAACACATCTCACCACACTAAAACAGTGGATGTGGCTCTTAATGAGACATGCCGTATTATCACGGGGTGTCTGCGCCCTGCACCACTGGAGAAATTACACTGTTTAGCTGGTATTGCACCACCTGACATCCGCTGGGAAGTAGCAGCCAATAGTGAAAGGACCAAGGCAGTGACATCTCCAGCTCATCCCTGTTTGGGTATCAGCCAGCACGTCAACGACTTAAATCTAGAAATAGTTTTCTAAGATCTACAGAGACACCCCTGGAACACCTCAGCAAGCGAGAGTCCAAAAGTGGCAGGCTCAAACCCAGAACCTCAATCAATGGCTGATACCAAATGAGAGACTCACTCCTGGGCACACAGAAAACTGGGCGACTTGGAAGGCGCTAAACAGACTGCGCTCTGGCACCACGAGATGCAGAGCCAACCATAAGAAATGGGGCCAAAGTGGAGTCTGCGACATGTGAGTGTGGAGAAGAACAAACCACTGACCACCTGCTGCAATGCAACCTGAGCCGTGCCACATGCACAATGGAGGACCTTCTTGCGGCAACACCAGAGGCACTCCAAGGGGACAGATACTGGTCAAAGGAGATTTAATCAACTACCAAGCTTGCAAACTTTGTGTTTTGTTTGTTTTTAATGCAATACAACTGTTTGGTTCACTCCTGGCATGATAAATAAATAAAATCCCGTAACTAGTGTTGCCAGAGGGAAAACTAGGGACACTTCTCTGGAACCTTTAATTGAAGACAGTTTGGAAGCTGTAATTGGTGCAGAGATCGGTGGCCAGATTGCAAACCGGAGCGCCATACCGTGATAAGATTACTTCTATGTTGCGGCAGCTCCGCTGGCTGCTGATCTGCTTCTGGGCTAAATACAAAGTGCTGGTCGTTACCTATAAAGCCCTAAACTGTTCAGTCCCAGGGTATTTGTAGAACCGTATCTCCATATACAAACCAGCCAAAGCATTGCGATCCACAGAGGAGGCCCTGCTCTCGGTCCCACCCCCATCTCAAGCTGGTAGGAACGAGAGAGGGGGCCTTCTCCGTGGTCACTCCCCATCTCTCTAAAACCCTATGATTGTATGAAAGAATACGAGGCTTTTCTGCACTGACCGTTGGGCAAGGCTTTACGGCACAGTCTCTGATCCCGCAGTGGCTGTTGTCGCTCCAGAAAGGACACGGCTTGTTTAGATTCACCTAAAGAGATGGGAAGACACGGAGGAAAAGTCTTTTCAATGCAGAAAGGGAAAAAAACCAAAAGTGACCCAAAGGAGGGAGGAAAGCTTGAACTACCAAGTTAAGCCCAACCTTAACTTTAATTTTGAATATGTTTTAAATGGCTTTTAACTGGAAATTTTAAAATATTGTTTATATTTAATTTTGTTTCATGTTTGTTGTTGTTCATTCGTTCAGTTGTCTCCGACTCTTCGTGACCTCATGGACCAGCCCACGCTAGAGCTCCCTGTCGGCCGGTACCACCCCCAGCTCCCTCAAGGTCAGTCCAGTCACTTCAAGGATGCCATCCATCCATCTTGCCCTTGGTCGGCCCCTCTTCCTTTTGCCTTCCACTTTCCCCAGCATAATTGTCTTCTCTAGGCTTTCCTGTATCCTCATGATGTGGCCAAAGTACTTCAACTTTGTCTCTAGTATCTTTCCCTCCAGTGAGCAGTCGGGCTTTATTTCCTGGAGGATGGACTGGTTGGATCTTCTCGCAGTCCAAGGCACTCTCAGAACTTTCCTCCAACACCACAGTTCAAAAGCATCGATCTTCCTTCGCTCAGCCTTCCCTAAGGTCCAGCTCTCACATCCGTAGGTTACTACAGGGAATACCATGCTTTGACTAGGCGGATCTTTGTTGCCAGTCTGATGTCTCTACTCTTCACTATTTTATCGAGATTGGACATTGCTCTCCTCCCAAGAAGTAAGCGTCTTCTGATTTCCTGGCTACAGTCTGCATCTGCAGTAATCTTTGCGCCTAGAAATACAAAGTCTGTCACGGCCTCCACGGTTTCTCCCTCTATTTTCCAGTTGTCAATTCTTGTTGCCATAATCTTGGTTTTTTTGACGTTTAGCTGCAACCCGGCTTTTGCGCTTTCTTCTTTCACCTTGATTAGAAGGCTCCTCAGCTCCTCCTCGCTTTCAGCCATCAGAGTGGTGTCATCTGCATATCTGAGGTTGTTAATGTTTCTTCCAGCAATTTTCATCTTTCATGTTTGCATATTGGTATATTTTAAAATGTATACTAATGCTTTTATGTTAAGCCGCTTCGAATCTCTTTCAGGAGAAATAAAGCGGGATACAAATAAATATAATCATCATAATCACAAAATAATTAATAATTAATTAATTATTATAATATTATAATAATACTATTTTAATAATTATTTTAATAATTAATAAGAATAATCACAATAATAATAATAATAATACAAGGATTTAAAGACTGAACTGCAAAGACTCTGGCACAAGCCAGTCAAGGTGGTCCCAGTGGTGATCGGCACACTGGATGCAATGCCTGAAGACCTTGGCCTGCACTTAAATACAATGCAGACAAAACGTCAGGAAAAAATGCTTCTAGAACATGGCCATATAGCCCAAAAAACGTGCAACAACCCACTGTCTGCTATATTCTTCAGAATATTATTATTTTATTATTTATTTACAACATTTATTTATTTACACCCTTCTCACTCCGCACTTATATCCACTTTGAAATCAGTTGCTTAAAAATCATCTCAGGACACCATTCTATTATTGCCTCCTTGCACTGCTCCAAAGGCTTGGTCCCATAGCCAGGTCTTCATCGTCCTTCTGAAGGGCAGGAGGGAGGGGGCTGATCTAATATTGCAAGGAAGGTAGTTCCATAACCGGGGGGGAGGGGGGGGGGTCACTGAGAAGGCCCTGTCTCTCTCTCACCCCTGCCAGACGTGCCAGTGACAGTGGCAGGACCGAGAGCAAGGCCTTCCCAGAAGATCTTAGTTTTTGTAGTAGTTCATAAAGGGAGATGCGTTCAGACAGGTAAACTCGGCCTGGGCCGTTTAGGGCTTTATAGGCCAAAACCAGCACCTTGAATTGTGCCCAGTAGCAAACAAGCAGCTAGTGGAGCTGGCGTAACATGGGAGTTGTGTGCTCCATGTATGCCATCTCAGTTATTAGCCTGGCTGCCTGTCGTTGGACTATTTGAAGCTTCCAAACCGTCTTCAAAGGCAACCCCACGTAGAGCGCGTTGCAGTAGTCTATCCTGGATGTAACGAGAGCATGGACTATTGCAATGCTCTCTATGTAGGGTTGCCTTTGAAGACTGTACAGAAGCTTCAGATGGTCCAATGGGCAGCAGCCAGGTTGTTAACAAGAGCGGCGCTCAGGGAGCACACAACTCCTTTGTTGCGCCAGCTCCACTGGCTGCCAGTTTGCTTCCGGGCACAATTCAAAGTGCTGGCTTTAGCCTGTAAAGCTCTAAACCAGGGGTCCTCAAATTAAGGCCCGCGGGCCGGATACGGCCCTCCAAGATCATTTACTCGGCCCTCGCTCAGGGTCAACTTAAGTCTTGAAAGCACACAACAACAACAACACCAACAACCCTATCTCATCAGCCAAAAGCAGGCCCACACTTTCCTATTGAAATACTAATAAGTCTATATTTGTTAAAATTGTTCTTCATTTTAATTACTGTATTGTTTTTAAGCATTTTTGCGCTACAAATAAGATATGTGGAAGTGTGCATAGGAATTCATTCATGTTTTTTTCAAATTATAATCCGGCCCTCCAACAGTTTGAGGGACAGTGACCTGGCCCTCTGTTTAAAAAGTTTGAGGACCCCTGACCTAAACAGTTCTGGCCCTGCTTATCTGTCCGAACATATCTCTCCTTATGAACCATCTAGGAATTTGAGATCTTCTGGGGAAGCCCTGCTCTCAGTCCCAACTTCTTCACAGGTTCGGTTGGCGAGAACAAGAGACAGGGCCTTCTCAGCGGATGCCCCTTGGCTGTGGAACGCCCTCTCTAGGGACATTAGAACGGCCCCCACCCTATTTTAACATTTCGTAAAAAAGTCAAAACCTGGCTTTTTGAGCAGGCTTTCTCAAATGCAGAGTAGCAGACAAACCCTGATCTCGGAACGACTGGACAATGCGATTGGATAATGATTTTGGTAATGAGACACAGAAGATCTATGTTTTTGTCGGTTTCATTACTTATGTTAATGTTTTAAATGTTTTTATATTATTGTGGGCATCGAATCGTGCCATTTTGTAAACAGCTGAGTTGCCCTCGGGCTGCGAATGAAATAGAATGAAATATACTATAGAAATATAGTAAATAAATAAATGGACCAAGTCTGACTTCCCAAGGTACGGGCGCAGCTGGCACACAAGTTTTAATTGTGCAAAAGCCCCCCTAACCACCACCACAACCTGAGGTTCCAAGCTCAGTGATGAGTCCAGAAGGACTCACAAGCTCCGAACTTGCACCTTCAGGGGGAGTGTAACCCCATCCAGCATAGGCTGTAACCCTATGCCCTGTTTGGCCTTTCAACTGACCAGGAGGACCTCTGTCTTGTCTGGATTCAACTTCAGTTTGCTCACTCTCATCCAGACCATCACAGCGGCCAGGGACCGGTTCACGACCTGGACAGCCTCCTTAGCATTTGGTGGAAATGAGTGATACAGTTGGATGACATCTGCATACAGATGGCATCGAACTCCAAAACTCTGGATAATCTCACCCAATGGCTTCATGTAGATGCTAAACAGCAGTCTTGTAATACCCAAGATTGTATACCCAAGTATACAACCTTGGGTATTGCAAGTTACTCAGTTCCCTTCTTCCCTAAAATAGAATACAAATTGCATTTGCTTTACATAATGGGGGATGCTGGGACCAGAAGCAAGGCAATATTATCATCAACTAACCACACCTGATATTTGACTCGTTTAATTAAATTTAAATTAAATTAAATTAAAACAAAACGGCTAGGTTGGAGTGGAATAGAATCATAGAATCCTAGAGTTGGAAAAGACCTCATGGGCTACCCAGTCCAACCCCCTGCCGAGAAGCAAGAAAATTGCATTCAGAGCACCCCCGACAGATGGCCATCCAGCCTCTGTTTAAAAGTTTCCAAAGAAGGAGCCTCCACCACACTCTGGGGCAGAGAGTTCCCCTACTGAACAGCTCTTACAGTCAGGAGGTTCTTCCTTATGTTCAGATGGAATCTCCTTTCTTGTAGTTTGAAAGCATGCAGACCTGCACATGTTCTTGGACTGCAACTCCCTGCATTCTACTGAATTCTGGGAGATGCAGTCCTACAAAGGCCAAGGGATGTATGGCTCCCATCCCTATTTTGGAAGCCCAGTATGCCTTCTGTAACATCAGGATTGAGAAAACAGTGGATTATTATCCAGAGTCCAAAGGACTACAATTCTCATCAGCCTGTGATAGGTGGATGATGAGAGTTGCAGGCCAAATAATGCCCCATATTCACAAGTATGTGTTTTGAGAAAAGACTTGCAAAGATATTAGAGAATAAATCCCAAGAGTTACCTTGTAATATCGGAAATAATCGCTTTCGAGGAGTTCCTGCAGCCGAGGGAACACCTTGCCATTGTTGTAGGCGTCAATCGTCTCAACATCGCAGGTGCAGTCGTCGAGATGCCCCGTCACCTGTGGAAGAAACAGGTTTGTTCAAATATATTCCAAAAGCCAAGCAAAACAATCAAGTGACGTCCAACAATGACGACACCGGCATCATCAGGCTTGGAAAATGTCAAAGCTAAATTGCACAGTCTTCGAGGTTTCACAAGACTCTTCTTTTCTGTGGCTGGAATAAGCTAATAGGGATTTTAAAAACGGTATTATATTCAATATATAACATCTTAGATCTATAGAAATTATTCTTCTTTTGGAGAGACAAAGCAGGATATAAATCGGAAGCCCTTCCACCTAGGCTTTGTTGTTCATTCGTTCAGTCGTCTCCGACTCTTCGTGACCTCATGGACCAGCCCACGCCAGAGCTCCCTGTCGGCCGTCACCATCCCCAGCTCCTTCAAGGTCAGTCCAGTCACTTCAAGGATGCCATCCATCCATCTTGCCCTTGGTCGGCCCCTCTTCCTTTTGCCTTCCACTTTCCCCAGCATCATTCCCTTCTCTAGGCTTTCCTGTCTCCTCATGATGTGGCCAAAGTACTTCAACTTTGTCTCTAGTCTCCTTCCCTCCAGTGAGCAGTCGGGCTTTATTTCCTGGAGGATGGACTGGTTGGATCTTCTCGCAGTCCAAGGCACTCTCAGCACTTTCCTCCAACACCACAGCTCAAAAGTATCTCTCTTCCTTCGTCATGCGACCAAGGTCCAGCTCTCACATCCGTAGGTGACTACAGGGAAGACCATGGCTTTGACTAGGCAATGGATCTTTGTTGCCAGTCTGATGTCTCTACTCTTTACTATTTTATCGAGACTGGACATTGCTCTCCTCCCAAGAAGGAAGCGTCTTCTGATTTCCTGGCCACAGTCTGCATTCCACCTAGGCTTTATGGACTCCCAAAAATCCATAAGGACTCCACCCCACTCAGACCCATCATGAGTGCCATTGGATCCCCCACGTACGACTAGCAAAATTTCTTGCTGCACAGTTACAAAGCCATATTGGGCTCACTACACACTACATCAAGGACTCAGCCCACTTCATAGAAAAAATCAGCAATCTCAAGCTAAATACCAAAGACAAACCGATCAGCTTCGATGTGGTGTCTCTATTTACCATGGTCCCGGTAGCAGACACCATGGCACTCATCAACCAGAGGTTCCCAGAAGACATCACAGCTTTTCACCATTGCCTCACCACCAGTTACTTTCAGTGGGACAATGAATTCTACGAACAGAAAGATGGAGTAGCTATGGGGAGCCCTCTCAGCCCGGTCATAGCTAACTTCTACATGGAACACTTTGAAAAACAAGCCCTGGAGACAGCAACCAAAAAGCCCACGATATGGTTCAGATATGTGGATGACACCTTCACCATTTGGAGCCATGGAGAAGAAGAACTCAACAGGTTCCTGGACCATCTTAACAGCATCCACCCAAACATCCAGTTCACCATGGAAAAAGAAAATGAAGGAAGACTGCCTTTTCTAGATGTCCTAGTTATCCGCAAACCAGATCAACAATTGGGTCACACCGTCTACAGAAAACCCACACACACAGATAGATATCTACATAAAAACTCCAACCATCACCCAAGTCAAAAAAGAAGCACCATTAAAGCCTTGGCAGACCGTGCAAAAAGAATCTACGAACCCCACCTCCTCCAAGATGAACTGAACCACCTCAACTGGGCTCTCCAGGCCAATGGAGACTCCACCTCGGACATCAGAAGAGCTGCAAGACAACCGAGAAGAAGCCACGCGAGTCAATGAGCTCTGTTTTCTTTGATTTAATGAACTCTGGATTGGGTTGTTGTAGGTTTTTTTGGGCTGCATGGCCATGGTCTAGAGGCATTCTCTCCTGAAGTTTCGCCTGCATCTATGGCAAGCATCCTCAGAGGTAGTGAGGTCTGTGGATTGTTTACAATACTGTGTCTGGCTCTTTAAAGGCATCTGAGTTCCGATAATATGTGTGTGCTTGCATATTTGTGTGTATGTATGTATGTGGATATGAATATGTGTGCATGTATATGTATGTGTATATATGTGTATATTTGTGTGTGTTTGTGCATATATATACATTCGTGTGTATGAATGTGTGCATGTGCATATGTATATGAGTGTATGTGTATATGTATATATGGTGTATTTTGGGGTTTTTTAAGTCTGTTCTGCTGAAGTTTTGTGTGTGTGGGGGGGGGGGAGAAGGGCTGGGTAGAAATGAATGAAATAAATAAATTTATGGGTGATGGTCACTCGTTGGCCTGATAGGTGAACTGTGTCCAAATTTCGTGTCAATTCGTCCAGTGGTTTTTGAGTTATGTCAATCCCACAAACGAACATTACATTTTTATTTATATAAATTTGTTGTTGTTATTATTATTGTTTTGGAAGAAACAGGGGACATTAAAGTGAAAAAAAGCATGTAACTTTCCAGCTTAGATTCGAATGCAATTATTATTATCGTCTGCCACTCAAAGGGAGTTTTCACACCCTTATTTTGGGCGAGCGGCCTCTTCCGTTCTTCAAAGGGTGAGGCAACAAGCAGGAAATCCAACTCAGAAAACCAACACCTCGAAGCAGGAATAATTTCCCAGCAAGATTGCGGTGATGGCCTTGCGGCACGTAGACAAAAAGGAAGTGGTAAAACCCAGAGATGCAAATCTTCCCAGGCTTTCTCTTCTGTTTCTTCCTGGGTGAAAGTGCACTTTCCTTAAGGCTTTCTAAAGCAGAGTGAATGCATGTGTTTGCAAAGGCTATTGGGCACAACTTTGCAAAAGTTTTGCATCGATCTAGCAATTCTCTTCTGGCTTTGAGTCCCTTTCGAATGCATGTCATGTCATTTAGTTATTGATTTACATCATTTTAATCCCTCCTCATAATAAATACACTTTGGTCTTAAATAGTGCTTGGAAAACTTAATTGGACTTCAGTATCCAAACCATGGGCTTGTCCACACAGCCATATAACCCAGACTATCAAGGCAGAAAATCCCACAGTATCTGCTTTTGAACTGGGTTATCTGAGTCCACACTGCCATATATTCCAGTTCAAAGAAGACACCGTGGGATTTGATTCAGCTGTGTGGAAGGGGCCCATGAGGATCCTAACTTAGGGCACATCTACACTGTAGAAATAAAGCAGTTTGACACCACTTTAATGTGGCTCAATGTTGTTGAAACATATAAGGAATCAGTGAGTGTGTGTGTCAACTGTAAAATAAGAAGCATGAAGCTGATTTATTGGGGTACACCAAGGGAACAGGCTGAGCCTGGGACTTTTGGATACTGTTACATTTTTGTTCAGGCTTGAGCTATGCGTGTGCATGGTCGAGCTACACCAGGGGAGCAGGCTGAGCCTGGGACTTTTGGATACTGTTACATTTTTTGTTCAGGCTTGAGCTATATATGTGCATGGTTGGGCTGCACCAGGGCAGCAGGCTGAGCCTGGGACTTTCGAATACTGTTACATTTTTGTTCAGGCTTGAGCTATGCGTGTGCATGGTTGGGCTACACCAGGGGAGCAGGCTGAGCCTGGGACTTTTGAATACTGTTACATTTTTGTTCAGGCTTGAGCTATGCGTGTGCATGGTCGAGCTACACCAAGGGAGCAGGCTGAGCCTGGGACTTTTGGATACTGTTACATTTTTGTTCAGGCTTGAGCTATGCGTGTGCATGGTCAGGCTACACCAGGGGAGCAGGCTGAGTCTGGGACTTTCAGATACTGTTACATTTTTGTTCAGGCTTGAGCTATGCGTGTGCATGGTCGAGCTACACCAGGGGAGCAGGCTGAGCCTGGGACTTTTGGATACTGTTACATTTTTGTTCAGGCTTGAGCTATACGTGTGCATGGTTGGGCTACACCAGGGGAGCAGGCTGAGCCTGGGACTTTTGGATACTGTTACATTTTTTGTTCAGGCTTGAGCTATATATGTGCATGGTCGAGCTACACCAAGGGAGTAGGCTGAGCCTGGGACTTTTGGATACTCTTACATTTTTGTTCAGGCTTGAGCTATGCGTGTGCATGGTCGGGCTACACCAGGGGAGCAGGCTGAGCCTGGGACTTTCGGATACTGTTACATTTTTGTTCAGGCTTGAGCTATGTGTGTGCTTAGAGCAGCAGAGAGAGAAGCAGAGAGAGACAGAGTTTGGAGTGTGCCCTTGCTTCATGAGCTGCTGAAGGAGTTTGTCCATTTGGACAAAGAAAGACAATTTTAAATGTCTCATAAAAGTACATTTTGTGTGTTGATGCAACCAATCACACTGCACATATGCTGTTCTGAACTAAGAAAAGTGAACTACTTATTCTTTATTGTTCATCTGCATGGCAGTGTATGGGCTGATCAAACGTAAACTACACATGGTTTATTTTGACATTACACCACAAATGCTAGGGAATTCTGGGAATCCTGGGAGCTGTTATTATTTTGTATTGTTTTGAGGTGTTTGTATTTGCTAAGGGCATTGAATCTTGTGTTTGTAAACTGTCCAAAGTCCCCTTGGGGAGAGAGAGTGGTCTATAAATAAATTATTATTATTATTATTATAATTATTATTATTATTATTATTATTGATTAGGTATTTTAGCAATGTTGTAACCCACCTTGAGCCATGGAGGAGAGGCAGATAGGAAATAGAACTATTATTACTATTATTACACAGAGAATACACAGAGAAGCCATTGAAATCCACAAGCATTTGGACAATTTCAACAGAAAGGAAGAAACCATGAAAATGAACAAAATCTGGCTACCAGTATTAAAAAACTCAAAAATTACAACAGCAAAACAGAGAGTAAACAATTAGGCACATCAAATCACTCTCAACAAAAGATTCTCCCCAGGCACTTCCAAGCCATTAAATGCTAATCAAGGTGGTCAGTTGAAACATTCACACCTAGCTCCAGCAGACAAAAGTCCTTTGTCCCACCCTGGTCATTCCACAGATATATAAACCCATTTTCCTACTTCCAACAGACCTCACTACCTCTGAGGATGCTTGCCATAGATGCAGGCGAAACGTCAGGA